TTTAAAACGTACACTACGTTTATAAGTATAGAGATATCTTTACTCTATAACTATTATACTCTACACTTATTATTATTATACTTTATAATACTACTACGTAAGAAGAAAATAGTAACGTTTAACTTACCTAAAGAGGTGCTAAATATAATTACTTTTAGCTAGAGCGCTAAAGATAATAAGCTAGAGAATAATAATAATCTTAATACTATTAACTAAGATAATCTTAGCTATAAGATTAACGTTACTACTAAGTACTAAAATAAGCTTAAATAAGTTAAGTAGAAATTAGTGTTTATAAAGAAGAAGCTTTAATTATTAGAGATAACTATAAAGTAGTTTTATACTTAATCTATAATTAGAGCTTATAAAGAGTATGTTAGTAATAATTATATATAGTAGTTATTAGCGTTAATAACAAGTCTAAGATAGTAGAAACGTTTTAAATAATAGGTTAAGGCAAAACGTCTAGGTTTAGAGCGTAAGCTTAATAATTCTAGTTCTTAGATACTAAAGCTTATTACTTTCTAGATATAGAAGTTATATAATACTATATTATTAGTAATAAAAGAAAAAGGCTAGTTCTATTATTATTAACGTTTTTTAGCCTATTCTGTTACGTTCTCTACGTATAAAGACTCTACTCTAGATTTAAGAGCTACTTTAGTAATATCTAAAGTAATTAGAGATAAGCTAGATACTAATACGTATAGTAGTTAATTATTCTCTTATACCTAAAAGATAAAAGTAATAATTAGCTAGTACTATAGGTATTAAAAAAAGCGTAGTATAAGTAAGTAGAAAGAGAAAAAGAATAGAAAATATACTAAAAATCTATTCTATTCTATAATAGTATTAACGTTAATAAAGAGTATTAAATATTAAAAGATATATTCTCTAACGTTTTTAGAGAGCATTATTAATAACGTTTAGGTATAAGTAGGTAAAGTAGCTAAGAGTACCTATATAGTTAAGAAGAAAGATTTACAAAATATATAAAATAATACCTAGGCTAGATTTCTAGGTAGTTATAACAAAAAGGCTCTTTTTTAATAATTACTACTTAATAAGCGTAGTTATATTATTTAGGCACAATATTATTAATAATTAATAATACACTTAGCATATATAATATTATTCTAATACCTTCTATAGCTTAAGAAGTATTTATAAATTAAGCTATAAATGCTGTAGATTATTAACAAAGAGAAGAGAATAATTAAACTTACTCTTCTCTTCTATAAAACATACTAAAATAAAGATTTATACTATTACTCTATATAATTACTTCTATTAATATCTAGTATATAGAGATTAAGCTATTTGTTCTTTACGTTAATTAGCGTAAACGTTATCTCTTAATTCTAAATCTATTACTTAAGTAGCTAGTAATCTTAGAAATTTAGGCTAGCTATCTTTTTTAATAATTTAACGCTCTTAATTATTCTAAACTATAAAATATAAAGGTAATTATAAGTATATACGTTAGTATTATTTAAATAGCAACGTTACTAACATATTATAAGATAGTAACAGCGTTTATTAAGAACTTCTATAACTATCTTATTAATATTAACGTTAATAGTAGCTGCTACTCTAGCTACTTATTTTATTAAAATAGTATTTAGTATTTCTTACTTAATAAACGTTAGTAACTAAAACGCATATACAAATAGAGTAGATAGTTAATAGAGTTTACGTTAATAACAATTATAAAGTATCTTATTAGTATAAATAATAATCTAAGTATAAGGCAGAATAAGTATATAAACTTATTATCTTATCTAGAATAATTATATTAGTAATATAGTTAAATATATCTTTACGCTTAACGCTAATAATAATAATATAATACTACTCTTTTCTTTATTAACGTTCTTAATAGTGTAATATTAAATATATTATATATTTTATATATAGTAAACGCTTACCTATTAACGCTGTATACGTTTTCTATTAAGGTAGTAAATTTATTACTACAAACGTTGTATACATTAATCTTTAAAGTAGTAAATACTTATTACTATAAACGTTATATACGTTTTTTATTAAGGTAGTAAATATATTACTACAAAGGTTATATATATATATATATTCTTAATATAGTAAATTTGTATTACTATAAACATTATATACGTTTACTATTAAAGTAGTAAATATATTACTATATTACTATAAACGTTGTATATATTAGAGCTTACTAGTAAGTTAATATATTACTATAATTATTATAAACGTTAGACTTTACTAGTATAATTATATATTATAGTAATTGTTGCAAATGTTTTAAATATTAGTAGAATTTAACTAGCGCTCTACTAGGCAAAACTTCTACTTCTTTAGTTCTAATAATTATAAAGATTATTATAAATAATTAAGTAAGTAAGAGAGTATTATAGAGAAGAGAATAGTTATAAGTTATAAGTTATAATAACGTTTCTAACGTTTTAAACAGGCTCTTTACTTAAGAATAAGATTATTTAAAACGTTATAGTAGATTATTATTAACCTTTACGTAATTACTATAGGTCTTATAGATAGCCTAGCGCGCTTTATACTAACTCTTTCTAGATATAAGCTATAATTATTAGCAACGTTCTAATTAGAAAAAGTTAAATTATTACTAATGTTCTTAGAGTAGTGCTTTATATTCTAAAAGTTAAAGATAAGATTCTAAAGGCTATAATAGAGGTTAAATAGAAGTATCTATAATAATTAGTATATTGTTAATAATATTTAATAAGACTAAACTTATAATAATCTTACTCTTAGAGGTTTTTAGTAAATAGCCTTTTTATATATATATTAGTATTATTAAGAATAATTAAAATATTATTACTTATAATAATAAGAAATTCTTTAATAAGCGCATTTTTAAAAAAGCATCTATAGAGAAGAGTATTATTATTATCTAAGCTAAAGAGAATCTAAAATGTTATTAATAATAGAATATAATAGCATATTATTAGAAACGTTTACCTAGTTACTAGAAAGGTTTAGCTTATTACTAATATAGTAGAAGTAATATTTTAGAAGTAAACTTATTAAGTGTTAGATTATTATAGATAATAGTAAAATTATTTATAATAAACCTTTTTTACGCTATATTCTACTATAGATTACTTTATTACCTTCTTTATTATCTAGCCTATACTAATATTAGAACGTTCTAGATAATTATAATATAATAATAACTTACTTAGTATTAGTACTCTAATAATCTTACTACTACTTAACTTTACTAGTAATTATTAAAAATAATATTATAATTATTATAAACGTTTATATACTAAGTATTCTCTTTAAACTATACTAAGCTAATAAACTTATCTTTAAGAATAGTCTTTTGCCTATAATATTATTAGTAATAATTCTAGATAAGTAATTTTAGTACTTATAAATTATTTACTATGTTAAGATAAGATAGTTTTTCTTCTTTATAAGAGCGTCTACTACTAGCACTACAGCCTTTCTTAGAGGTAGTTTTAAGCTTAGAGTCTAAATTATATAAAATATTTTTATAGTTCTACTTAGTATCTACTACTATATTAACTTTAATAATAATTATCTATAATAATATAGAAGGTAGTTACTATTTATTAAGAATAAAATAGATTTATAGATAGCTAGTATTAACATTATTAGTAATGTTTATAAAAATAGTACTTATTAGCTAGAGTAAGACTAGAGGTAAAGTAAAGTTAATTAGTTATATTATTAGAAAAGATTATATAGTAAAGGTAGATTAGTTTAAGTAATTATAAAGAATAATTATAAAATAAAGGTAGGCTAGTTTAGATAATTATAGTAAATAATTATATAGTAAAAGTAGGCTAAAATAGAAGAATTATTAAGAATAATTAGCTATAATTATTATAGCTAATTAGTTTAAATTATTAGAGCTACTTATAGTTATAGTGTAGTAGAGTAGAGAAGTAAGAAACTTAGTTTAATAGGCTATAATAAGTATAGCAGGGGCCCTTGCACGCTAGTAGCTACTAGGCCTAATTAGGCCTAGATCGCTACTAAGACTGTTAAACCCCGAGTAGAAGTCATTTTTATTAGAGGATACCGAGGGTGGAGTATTTGAAACCCCTTAACCCTAAGGTAGAGAAGCGCACCTGCCTTCGTACCGTTTCGTCTCCTGCTAGTACCTGGTGTTGCTTGCAGCTAGAAAGTGCGACCGTGTATCTCGACGCGCAGAACCTTGAGACCACCTCTTCCAGGTTTCCCCTCCACACCGTTGCTTTCTTTTTCGCGGCATTCGCACGTCAGATTCTATAACACACTGGGCGCGTCCCTCATTTCCTTCATCGCGACCGTCTTTGCACGCACGCCAAGTACTACGCCGCCTGGGTGCATGCGCGACGCGTCTTATCAGCGACAAATCGCTTTCAACCCCTCCGGACCATCGGCGCGCACATATCATTCCTTCCCCTAGCATCGCGAGCGGCACAGCAAAGGATTCTGCTGCTTTTAAAATCACTCGCTTCCGGTATGTATCCTCATATTCCCTTTCTTCTCTGCCATGCCGAACCGTGCGGGAAGTTTTAAAGTTCTGTCACCTGTCATTAGCCGTGCGCGAGGCTGTGCGCGCAAACGAGCGTGCCATACAGACCATGGAGCATTCCAGCATTGGTGTCACGACAACGTCTGGGACAAATCGACCGGCAAGACATTTGAGACGACAAGACTGGTCCATGCACGATGGAAGCATTGCTCGATCTCTGCAACGGGACCAACAAGTCAAACATCAACGGCAATAAACATGTATTGTCTCAGACAGCGTTTGCTCATCGCATCATGTGCCGCTGCAGCCAAAGCTTTTCCTTGCACAGAGATTTACCTATATAGCATATGCAGAGCGTGCTACATCTGTCCTCCCACACACATTGCTAACTCCTCGTTGCAGTAATAGTAGACCTCCACAGTCGCGATCGTAACGCCTTGAACCATCTGAGATGGTGGCGTCCGTTCTCCAACCAAGCACCTCTCGGGCCAACATGGTGAACCCGAAGAAAAGACCAGGTGAGTATCACATCTTGAGGTCCTATCCAAGACCAGCCACTGTGCAGACACTGACCACTACAGCTTCCGAGCAAGCACAGCCAGCCAAGTCAAAGGCAGTACGCCCATCCGCAAAACGGCGGGTAGAACGGAGAATAGCAGGATATCAAGAATATCTTAAGGGTAATACGAAGGACTTTGTTCGTCACGATCCAGCAACGGAAACGTTGCCCGATCTACTCGCCTACGATGATGAATTTATGAAAGCCGAGAGGGCTTGCCTGGAGATTCCACAAGACTTCATCCTAGCTGTTAAGCCAGACAAGGACCCGCAACTAGCCGCAAGTCTCAGACCCAAACTCAACGAGGTGATGGACGAGTACCAAAGCGAACCCGAGCGTGTGGCAGTCGTCGGCAAGACTGGGCAGGGGAAGTCGAAATTGATAGATGCTATCTTGGGCATCGATGGGATTGCAAGATCGGTAAGCACGACCTCCCCAAAGCATCACGTCATCTAACTTTTCTAGGGAGCAAGCGGCGTGGCAACAACCCGCATTCCAATTGTATATTCACCACGTCGAGCGCACATACAAACACCCTACGAGGTGAGACTGGAGCTTTCCGGCAAGATCGACTGTCGAGATTCAGTACAACAGCATCTTGCCAATCTTGTAGCGAACCTAAAAAGATGCGCGGAAGGGCCCATAGAGCTTGACGATCAAGGCCAAGACAGTCTACGGGCGCTTCAGAATCTGTTCAGCGACATTCCAGAATTCGCATCGAACGAATCTACTTGGACATTCCTAGGATATGATGTCAATTCGCACAAATTCTCATCAGTAGCGAAGCAAAAGGATGCGTTTGGCCAATGCGTCAAGTGGGCTGAGGACCGGCGCCAGAGGATCGCCAACATGTCCGCACAGGGTATCTACGCTACCAACGTGACGGAGCTGCGGAGAGAGCTCGCGCAATTCAGCGACGATCAAGCCAAGATGGACGACACCAAACTTGGCTTCAACCCCTCTGCGCTCGTAGAGAGGATTGAGGTCTTTGGTGACTTTCGGATTCGCTACTCAATCGGCGACTGCCCCGGACTACAGGACATCAACAAGGCAAGCTTGTGCCCTTCCCAGGTTGACATCGCTCAAGCTAACCGTGTGTTGATAGGACCGTGAAACAAAAGCGAACCGATATCTTCAGGACTGCAAAGTAGTCATAGTCGCTGAAGAAATCACGAGAGCTGGCGATAGCGCGTTTCTTGATCACTTAATTAATGACCGTACTACAAGGAGACCCGATCAACGCATCATCATCGCCTTGACAATGGGAGAGTCCAATCTGGACCCATCGGATCGCAAAGATGCATCATTCGACCAACATGAGAAAGCTGATCTCGACTGGCTAGCCGAACGTAAAGCAGAAACTCGGAGAAAGAAGGACAGCTACGCGCCAACAGACTATGCGCAAAGAGACCACTGCGCCCGCGAGATCGCTTTCATGACCCTCGAAGAGAACGAAATATGTGCCCGAGAACGAGGTCGTCGCATCAGCGACAGGCTGAGGGAAAGATTCGCAAAGCAGAACGGAAATTTGACAGTTATGACGACTTCGGCAAAAGACTACATGGAGCATGTCGAGGGCTACCACCAGTACACCGACGAGCATCTGCCGCTGTCCGTTGAGTCCACCCAAATCCCCAGTCTATGCAGGGAACTCGCCGCTATCGCCAATGAACGGCTGCAGAAAGACCTTCTTCGCTTTTACAGGCGAACACTACCCGAGCTCTTCAGCTATATCGAGCTCGCTTGCAGCACGACTTCCGGGCCGGTGCAGACAGGGCCCAGGTTCAACTTTGAAGAATTCGCATCCAAATTGTTGAAGCCGCTCGAAGTCTTCCTCGACGTTTTCGAAAATGAACTCATCCTTCCGAGGATTAAGAGCATGAGAGAAGGAGTCGGCGATTGGAAGAACGAAGGTCACCATAACATCAACAATGTTTGGCGAAAGTTGCATGGCAACGCCGTACGGTGCTACTTGAACAAGCTAGGCAACCACCGGACAAAGGGACTGCCGAGTTGCAGTTGGAACATTACGCTTCTGGGTCCTGTCCAGAAGACGCTCGACCCGCTGTTCAAGGAGCTAATCGCAGAAGCACCCTCCAGGCTGGGTAGCCTTGCATACCAGCTAGAAGGAGTCGTGGACGACTTCCTGGAAGCCCTTCGCGTTGCCGCCGAACAGCTCGACAGCAAGAATTTCGTAGCGAACCTTGACGACAAGAAACCGCAACTCTACAAGATGTATAATGTTGTCGGCAAAGACCTCATGATATTCCTTCGGCTGTTCCGAGGACGTCTTACTGAAGACGGCAACGGTGACTTCTTTCCCCAAAAAATGAAACCGGTCTACACTGCCACATTACGGGCAAAACCGGCGGGCAAGTTGACCATGAAAGAGGTGCAGATGCAGACACTGGAAGCGCGCATATGCGGAAAGAACAGTCCCTACGACCAAATGGTCGACATGTTTGAAACCGCTTGGAAAGCCAAGAAGATAGCGTTGTTGGAGATTGGCAGACAAGCTATCGCATTTCACATAGCAGAGATCAAGGCGTCGTACAAGCAACTCAGCACTCCTGATCTGCAGGATGATGCCGTGACGCTGCTGCGCGCTGAGCTGGAGCGCAAGGTTGGCGTGGCGAGGGAACAGTGCAAGGGACCTATTCTGACTTCTCTTCTGGAATGCGGGCTTGATCCGAACTTGAAGAAGGTGAAGAAGGAGAAGAAAGTGAAGAGAGAGAAGAAGGTCGCGAAGGTGGAGAAGTAGGCAAGTGGAGTGTGGAAATGGTAGTGAGATGGGGTGTGTACCCAGGGTTTGCTTTCATGCGTCCGTTCAGTTCAGGTATGATACCCACGGTGGGCAGTAGGCCCGCGAAAATGGAGTCTGGTTTTGTTGTGCGATACTTTTGCGATGTATGTATGTCTACGTAGGCTTTCAAATACTAGCTCGCCACATTATGAGAGATATCGTTGGTTGATCAGACTGTCGCACAACCCCCACACGGAACAAGGAAAGGATATCTTCCAGAAGTCTACATCACCTTTGAAACCTTGTCAACTTTCATCTTCGTATCGATGTAGACTGCAGCGCACCTATTCGATCTCATGTTTGTGTGCTTTACCGAGATAATCGGTGTACTCACCCAATACACATGACATGTAACCAGCAACATTAGTTTCCATCAATGCCACATGGTGTGTACATGATCGCTATGCCGAACATCCATAACAACGCCTTCAAACAAAACCGCTATCATAACACGCACAAGATCCCGTACCCTGCCGTACCGCGCCGCTCCACTCACTCGATGCTCGATCCTATAAAAGGTAGACCACAGTTCAAGGAATATCCTGGTTTTGAGAGGTATCTCAACAACACAGCCCTAGGCCTGCACGCCGAGACCTGGAAGGGATGCCAAGTCAACTACGTTCGTTTTTGGAAGCACCATGGCGACGAGCAAAAGTTGAGGCAGTATGTCGACGCTGACTGGGCTTAGAAGCCAGTATACAGCCCTCTCGCTTTCCTGCTGCGGCCTTTTTTTTCCGACTCTGCTATATACAACACGGCTGCTCTATCTTACTGTGGTCTTTAGCAAGATATATGAGTAGATACACTTCATGAATCCATGATATTTCTCTCCTGTTATGACTCTTGACTCTTGTCCGTGATAGTGTAGACACTGTCGATTCGTATGTGCACCTGTCTAGTTAAGTCAATTGCCGTGAGAATAGGTCATTATGCTGTTTGATTCGCATGACATAGCGGTACCAAGCCGCCTGAACCCAATAATGCTCATATGATAGAAGAGGTCTTGGGGCAGAACAAAGATCCCAGGCCTTGTGACAAGCTCCGTGCGTTCGTGAAAGTTATGGGCGTTAACCGGGGTCAAAAGTCACAGTAGCTCTGACGCCAGCTGCAAGAGTACCATCGTATCCATAGTGTCGGATATCCGTTAATCCAAAGCAGTCCGCACGATCCCAATCTCCAAGCTCCATCACAACCGCTCGATAGATCTTTCATCAGCCAGCACCCCGAGCGCGGTGCTTTCTGCCCAATGAGCTACATCTCTACTAACGCACTCTAGTCGGCTTACCTCACGATCGAGCGGTAGAAGGCGCCAACCAATCCATAGACTAGTAAACGTAAAGCTATCTTCATGTTTCTAGAGTCTCGTCTCGCTTATCTCTTGATCAGTTTCAGCGACAACATCACGCCATTGCTTCGCACGCGTGCTGTGGCATGGGCGATGTCCTCGGAAGTTGGGCATGACCGAGCCGGCCACGGCATTCATGCGATTAGTGTGGGAGAGTAACGCCAATTCTATGCCCATCATACAGCTAAATCGCTTCCTTCTCGCGGGCCAGCTTCTTGTTTGGCGAACCCAATCATAGCCACGCCGACGTATGATATGTAGAAGACGGGCATTTCCAAGGCTTAAGAAGTCACACTAGTGTTGGTACGATTGTTCGGTAGAAGTTCATGGTGTCTTTTTGATCGTGACAAGAACTTATGAACACAGATTGAAGAACACGTTGCATTATGGTTGGGCTTCGTCTACTATATCTTACACCTATCCAGGGAGATTGGCCGTGTGCTAGGCGGCCTGGGCGAACAAGACAGACCGGCTGACGCCCATCATCTGCACCACCAAGTCTTCTATATGCGGCAGGAGCTGCACTCCCCTCAGATCAGCCTTGCGCCCTAGCCTCTGGCGCTCGGTTGCTGCAAAGGCGTCTGCCCAATCCGTTCGCGTAATGTCGACTGCTGTGTACGAGAAGCCGTTCTGGAATAATGTCTCAGACCTGTATGAAGTGTCCCAAGACCCACCAAGACCTACTAGCACAAAAAGGTTGGCTGCTATGTATGCGGCAACACCGATTTCATCCGAGGCAATACGAGTGTATTCGGGTACGTAAGGGCTAAGCCTGGAGGCCCTCACGCATCGCCAAGGCGTTGGAGAAATTTCCAGAACACTTCAAAGTACTCCCAGGTTCTACATGGTCTATTAGAACAAAACTTTGGCATGCGATGTATGCGGCAAAGCTAGTTTCTCAAAAGGCGATACGAGCTTACCCAGGTACATAATGGCTAAGCCTGGAGGTTCTCACGGATCCTCGGAGCGTTGGGGAGATTCCTGGAAGTCTATGAAGTGCTCCCGGGCCTCTCGAGATCGGTGAGATCCAAAGTTCCCAAAGCCATGTATGCGGCAAAGCCAATCACGAATTCCAGATCTGGAGCGTCATGAGTAAAAGTCACCCAAATACTATCGCTCACGGTTGGGGTGCCCGTCTCGCATACGACGACCCCGCTGATCGTCTCGGCATCAGGGTCAGCGACATTCGAAACGGCGACGAGCTGGAAGGATGGCCCTGGCTGATGGTGGATAGTACTGCCGACAAAGCCATCCCACGCCTCAATCGGCTCGTCGGCTGGCTTAACGCCTTGGATACTGAAGAACTGCGACCTCGTCGCTGGTATCCCGTCAACAAGCGTATCGGCCAACCACGATGTAGATAAGCTCGCCACCTACTGGATGCTGGAGTGAAGTGGCAGGAACTCCAAACCCAGGACTATAGCGTGAGCGGGACTTGCGAGGCGTTTGGCTGATATGTACGGAACTGGGCCAGTATCTTTGAGATGCCGCCGACAAGAGAAAGAAGCGATCTAGACCCTACGAGAGCTAAGAGAGAAGAAGTACGAGAATAATTGTACGCAGGTATCGTCGCAAACGAAATGTACCATCGACGCCGCATATACCCAAACAGCATGATTACAATGTATGTAGTTGCTAGGGCTATGCGAACAGCAGCACAGAAAGAATCCTAGGTTTGACTCTAAGCGTGCTTTGACGCCAGGTCCGGTAATCCGCATGAACGAGACCTCGAAAGAGGTGTTGCGATGTGGACTGCCGCTGGTACGGGGATGGGAGCAATCCAAATCCTGTGCGAGCCCGTTGAGCGTTGCGGCGTCTCTCTCAAGAAACGTGATGTGTGAGGCGGTTAACATTTTCATGGATTGTGTTCCTTTATGGGTGCTTCCGAAAAAGAGGGCTTTCAACTCGACACTGATAAAATGATAGTGTGACTTCGCTATATCACTGAAGAGAGGCGCAAAAGTGGTTGGAACGAAGGCGCTATACCTGCGAGCCTGCACTCAATGCCAGGTTTCCAAGGTTCTATTCGCACATCTTGTCGCTAAAAGATTAGTCCAGACGCCTACATCAGCGTCGCGACAACCCAAAAGGCGGTAATACTAGGATGGTAGCTGCCAGGGCGTGGTCTGCGACAACGCTGAGTCGACACAGTCAGAGTACAGGGCGAGGCGGCTGGCGAGCGTCAGCGAGCCCGCCGCGCAGCGGCGCCCCCCTACAGAGAAGATTAGCATGGCCCCTGCACTAAGGATGACACGATCAATCAAAGAGAAGCTGCCGTTTTTTTGCTCTTGATCTGGCGCCGGAGTAGATAGGATATCTTGGAGGGATTTGCAATGCGATATCTGTGTTTGTGAAGATAGCAAAATGTGAAGTGCAGAGGAAATGGTGTTTTATCATTATTGTGCGGGGAGAAAGGTCGCTGGACCCTTGCGCAGCAAAAAGAGGGCCAAAAGAAGAGCTGGGCTCGACTCGAACCCGGGTCTCCACGCACCGATTTGGCGGAGGAGTCAGATCAAAGAGCAAAAAAATGGTAGCTTCTCTTTGATTGAGCGTGTCATCCTTAGTGCAGGGGCCATGCTAATCTTCTCTGTATCGTTTCAAATTGACCAAATGCCCGAAGGCGAAGGTTAGACAAATAAATCTGTATATATAATGAAGCGTTTGACGTTGCGCGCTGGGGCGCTCGAAAAGCTGGATCTGGGCTGGCGGCGGTCGGGAACACCAAAACTTGGAAGTGGGCCACGCTCGAACCACCAAAGCTTTGGAAAGTCATCGGGTGACCCGTGCATGTCCTGGAGCTGCATAATGGCTATCATAGGCGGGCTTCGCCCGCTGTGATAGCTATAACTGCTATTGCGACCATTGGTTGTCGTTATGTCATAACAGCCCATAGGACAACCAAAGTATATTCACCATCTCTTTCTTCTGTCAACGCAAGGTACGCAGATCGATGTATGCAGCTGACGGCAACGGTTTTTCGCTATGCGGATGCGTGCTAGTCGAGTAGTTGTCCTCCTTGGATGATCAGCGCCTCAATCCAGCGCGTTACAGTTGGACCTATCGTATATGCTTCCAGTGATCTTCGACATCGTAGGATTCGCTGGTGCTATTCGCGGTGTCCCTTACTAGTCGTTGAATTGGTTGTTAGCTGTCTGCATGATTTCGGAGTACTTAGGGAATTGCATCTGGAACTTCTCAGTGAACGACATGCACGGAGAGCAACCTGGTGTCTTCATATGAGATGAAAGTCAATTTCGAGGCGCGCAGTGATGCGACAGTACCACGGAGAGGAAATGTAAGTGTGTGAGAAACCCAGGCAAGTGGTACTGACTGTGATGTTTACCCCTCCACCCCACTCGCGCCTCGCGAAACTGCGGATTAGGAAGTAGCGCTTCAATATGGTCGTCACGGTCGCGCCTTCCAGATTTCGACTCAACTACACATGTACGTGGGAAGCAATGCACATGCCAGAACTAACGATGAGCGCTAACGTATATCCTGCAGTTATATGAGACGGTCTGCAATAACAACCTCATGATATGATGTATACTTTCAAGTCACCCTTTCTGTGCAACGCAACTCAGAGAACGGAATCTTTTTGGCATATCAGTAT